GTTCAGATTTCAACATACCTTCACATACAGACATGTGAATTCAAGATTCACCTGTGTTTGCACATGTTCTAAATTACAACAGGCAAAATTAATTCTGAACACAACCAAAGCTGGGTGAATTCACGCCTTTAATATTTCAATTATGACCACAAGGCCTCAATAAACTTGTCTGAATGATCAAAGTGTAATTCAAAGATTTTAATCAAACTGACGAAGTATTCACAAATTTCATGAGAAATCAAGAACTCAATTATGTGAGGTCATTGTACTTTTATTCATACTCACACTTTTCAGGTTGGTTTCCAAGAGATGCCAGTTGGGTTCAATGACCTCAAACATCATGTAATATTCAAAATTCTGAACAAAATGCAGCATTCGTTGTCGGAGAGCGAAAGCAGAAGCATACCATTGTGCAGTATGTACACTGTATTGCTTTGACATCTTGTTACCAACCCACACACTGGAAAAGAAGTAAAAACACAAAAAATTAGACAATCGTCTAATTAAATCTTATAATTAAGAATAAAATGCATCTTTTTAGGCACTTTATGATTAAAACTTTACGACTTTTTATTTTTAAGAAAGTACACATCGAAGCTTTTATGCAGTGAATATTTTTTTCAAACTTTTTAACATCTCTATATGGCAATTGTGGTACACATTACAGATTCAAAAAGATCTGTTATTTCTTGGCACTCAATAACAATATTTTTTTATTACTACGGTATGTGTGGTTTCTACATCTTTTGAAATGAAGAATGAGGAAGATGTTTTGAATAACACTAGTTATCGTAAAATACTTTATTATAGCTGGAATTAGTTTTCGTTGAAAAGACGTTTCGGGGGTTTTTTATAGAATTTATTTTCACTGATTTCTGACAAGTTGAATGTAAAATATAGGAAAAAAGGTATATTTGCTGGTTTTTATTTTCACTGAATCATTCTTTCAGCGAAAATAGCAAAAAACAATTCCAAGCGAAAATAAAGTATTTTACAGTAGTACAAAATCGAATAAAAAATGTTTGTTCTATTCAATTTCATGATTTTGACAAAAATATTGTTTTTTAAGCCTAAAATCAAGACTAATTTATGAATCACAAATAAGATCACTTCCATAGGGAAATAGTCTCACAATGCAATAATAGTGATTATTTAAATTCATTGATTTGAATTTTCCAGAGTAAGTTTAGAATACCACTGCGGTTGTTAGAATACATAATGCAAATATGTGATGCAATTTCAAGTACTAAATGCAGAGATAAAATACAATCAAATACAGACACGACAGAAAGTATTACGCACAACACTATGTGCAGTTACTACCTACGATATCATTCTTATTCAAAATGGCTGTTCCATCAATAAAAACACTTACTTGCATAGCAGTCTTTCAACATGCTTGGCATAAAATAAATGTCTGAATATTAACTGGTATGCTGTCAATGCCTACAAAAGATATGGTTACAAATTAAACATGTGTTTCACTATTTTCACATTTTGACTTTAAATATAGTTCAATTATACACAGCTATGGCAATTATCATATACCTCATAATGCCCGGTATCACTATTGAATGTTGCTCCATTTCAAACTGCGCATACACACACACACTGTGGTTTCTCAAATGCATACTAATTAGGTAACTTATCACTGACAAAAGTCACTGAAAACATTTTGAGCAATAGTACTAGAGTGAAATATAAACATGCCTCTGCATTCTCCATTAATTTTGTAACTTGCTATGATCAGGGTAAAGAGAAAACCTGTGCTTACTTTCAACAGTTTGCTGGAGTCTGATCAAAGAACACCTTTACATTAGTTTTCTGATATATTTTTTCAGCTCTTAACGATAGAATCAGTCAATTTAGAACTATCATGTATGCCATCGGTAAGCATTTTAACACAATTTTACTGAAAAGACAATTTTTTTCATTGCTCATTAATATTAATTTGTGCAAATGAGACTTTTATTTCCACCAATTGTGTCATGCAACTCCCCCTTGCTCTAAATTACGTAGTGTGTTTGAGATCACGCCATGGTAAAATTGTAATAATACCTATAAGGTATATGACAAAACCTGCACTGGATACAGCTTTTGCTGCCCTCGACCGTTAATAATATAATAGTTAGAGCTCAGTGTTTGAGGTTTGTTAAGGTGGTTACAAATTTTAGCCTTGTAATTCAAAAAGGTAAAAACACAAAAGCTTAAATAGACTATAATAAATAGACTATGGTTACCGATAGTACATCCATCTTAATCTAACATATATTTCAAATACAAAATAATTTTGGAATCACTTACCTTTCTGCTGAGGATAAGAGATTCAGGCCATCTAACCACATAATCGAAAGAGAAAGCTTCTAAACCAGAAATATGGATTTCTGATGGATCCATATCATGGATTCTACCAGCTGGAGAAAAAGGTCATTGATGTAAGAGGTGCGGCACATTTTGCACATTTTTCCTAATAAGCATTTTTTCTATAATTTCTTCATTAATTTTTTGGAAAAATCTGAGTTTATCATGAAGGGTGATAAAATTTGACCTTGGGGTTCTGAGAGTTAAAGGACATATAAACAAAGCTGGCAACTTTGACTCTTGCACAGACCGACAAGTACAAACTGAGACATTACCAAACTTTAACTGGATAATTCTTTTAGAGATTGGAAAGTACCTAAAGACTCACAGGCAATAATTAGTTCACAACACACCCAGGTCAAAACTCATACTTGTAATTTCCTTAGAATAGCACATTAGATTGTGGGACACAACACAAATGTTGCACATGCGCAGTGTGACAACCACTGCCCTTTAATGATGCACAATGGTAATATCTCATAGATGGCAAGTCTCCAATGTGTTGGAAGGACTAAACAGGCTGTGTTTTAATTCCGAATGTACAGTCCAGTACAGGAATCTGACTTCCCAGGTAAGAGACAAATACATGTATATTAACTGTTGTACTTTCCTACTTTGTTTGCTGCAACTACACCTTTATATTGTTACAAGATCATTTCAAACAATCAGATTATTCTATAAGAGAAGCAGTCTCTTAGCTGAAATAGCTCCACTGTTAGAAATGCATATCATCACAAAATTAACTCGTCAGCCATTCTGAATCTGATCTAAAAAATAAAATAACGTGCATCAAGAACCCGTAATGTCTAATGTATGTATCAAGATTGAATAAAATCCATCCATAAATGCTTAATATTTGATGATTTTTTAGCACAAAAATGACCACCATTCGGCCATTTTTTATACGGATCGTCAAACCAATACATCTGCAATACGGCCTGCGTCTGAACAGGGACTAAAAAATCTGTGTGAGGTCCACCTGCGTAACTTTATGTATAACATTAAATCAATGTGGTTTTTAAACAAGAAGTCGAAAATATCCCTTTATACCAAAATGTTTATCAAAATAAGAGAATATCACAAAAAGAACAAATCTAAAAGAAATCTACCCGAGGTATATATACACCAAGTATCAAGCAACCAGGCTTGTTGTTTTTAAGAAGCCCTAAAAATAAAAGTTCCCACAGGTGACAACGACAGACTATCAGTAATATGATTAGCTCTGCTTGACGAAGTCGACAACGGAGCTAACAAAACTCACCAGAAAAAATGTGTAACAATAAAATCTAATTTCTCGTAAGATTTTCAGATGTGTTTATTATCTGATGGTAACTTATCTGTTCCAACAGACATTTCTGATAAAATTAACCTGAATGTGTGAACTTGGCCTTCAAACTCATTTCATTTTCAAGAGTAAACCACATACGCATTGATGTTGGCAATCTCAAATTGATGGAATTTCTAATATTCAGAATGGGAGTAAATACTTACATTGTTCTTGTTTAGAATCAATAGCGAGGATTCGTAACAGCTGAGTAATCAAATCATATGGAGAGAGTTCAACCCTGTAAGATGTTATCATAACATTTGACAAATTTGAGAATTAAAAACTAAAATGATTAAGACACAAATATTAAAACTCTTCAGACTGATTTTCATGGAAAATCAAAACTTGTTGAAAAATAATCTTGTTTAAAATATAATATATATATTTGCATTCACTATTTAAAATGGCTTCTCCATTGACACTTCATTAATTTATCAAAATGGCTGCTTCTTAGACCACCCCTTGACCCCTTCAAGCTGTAACCCCAAGTCAAATAGTTGCTTCCTTACTTGAGGTCATCCTTGAAAGGATCATTGTTAGCCAGACTGGTTCTCTGCGCTAATTCCAACAACGTTTCTAATCTTGATGGTATGATATCATCCATATATTTTTTGAGCTCGTCTTCTGCAATGTCCATGAAATGGACAAAGAAATCACCTTGGTCCATCAGGAAGTAGTGCTTGATTGATCTAAGAAATCAACAGAAAAATCAACATCCTTGAATGAGCTCAATAGATCTTAAAACAAGCAGCCTATCAGCTGAGATAGCTCCGCTGTTAGCAATGCACATTTCAATTAAAGAACTGAGGATATCATTAGAAAATGATATTCAAAATTATCACATTTTACCAAAAATTACAAAAATAATCATTAAAATTAGAGAATTGAAGATATCATTACAAAATGAACAAATCTGAGAGAGGTCCACATGTAGTACCTATATATGTAATATCAAAGCAATCAGACTTGCGGTTTTCAACAAGAAGTCGAAAATATCACTTTTTACCAAAAATTACAAAATTATTTACCAAAATTAGAGAATTGAAGATATCATCACGAAATGTACAAATCTGAGAGAGGTCCACATGTAGTACCTATATATGTAATATCAAAGCAATCTGACTTGCGTTTTTTAACAAGAAGTCGCAAATATCACTTTTTACCAAAAATGACAAAAATATTCACCAAAAATAGTGAATTTGAGATTTTGGCATGAAATGAACAAATCTGAGAAAGAACCATCGAAGGTACTTGCATATCATATTTCAAAACATTCTGACTTGTGGTTTTGAAGAAGTCGAAAATGTAAAGTTGGCGATGACGACTGACGACGTCGGACAATCAGTAATATGAACAGCTCCGTTGTGACGACTTTGTCGACAGCAGAGCTAAAAAGGAGTGTTCTTAATGCTGTTAAAAGTCACAATATTTTTGCACGATGGATAATAGACAGGACATTATTCCAAGTTGTAAAAGCAGTATAGGCAAAAGCTTGCTGGATAAAACACATGACCTTAGTACATGCTTGTCCAACAATGAGCTAAGTTATCTGGCTGAAGTATATAGCGGGAGAAGCTACATCCAATACAATATTGTGGTTATTTAGAGCATATACAAAAATGTAATGATCTGAATTATGTACATTTTGCTTGTATTTTTCACTTTCTTGGCAGAAACTTCAGTACCGTGAATTTGCTTTAATAAATTGTACTTTCAGGTTGCAATTCACGTCTCCTTGAACTAATTACAACACAATAATCAAGCCATTCAGGTGGGTCACCATGCAACAATTGTTTAATTGTGGCTTCCCTGAACTACAAACCTGAATAAATACTACCGTACTCGACCGCGTTAGCACCCAGGGGCCTCAACTCACGATTTTTTTAGGGATGGGCACTATGCAAATTAAAATTTTAATTCATCATGTGACAGTTTGAGGGGGATATTACGTCTTTGAGGGAAAATCAAATTACGTAATTATTTGCATCATTAATTATTTTTAAAATGAAGAAACAGAAATAACCACAAAAAATATGCACATTTTATTACAATATTAATTACGTACCACCAGGATTTACGAAATTAAAAACATTAGAGTCTGTTGGAAGACAGTCGTAATCAAAATTCTCACTATCTCCACTGAATAAACAATGGTAATAAACATACATGTATGTACATGCTGCAAAAACAGGAAACATTTTAAGATATGGTGTCACCATCTTATGATTTTAATACAGCAAATAATTTATTAAGTATTTTGAATAATTTGTATCTGTATTTTTTTTATTTAAAGGGCGATGGGCGCCGCACAGCGTCTGTTCAAATGTCATGTAAACAAACAAGGCATTTTACACATATTCTGTACGTCGCTATGAGGAGTCCAATATCGAACAGGATGTGGCGCGATGCCCACCGCCCTTTGAAGCAGTTGTCAATGAGTAAATCAGAAAAGAGAAGACATATTGTTCTTATATCATAGTCTATTCTTACCTTAATCTTCCAATCAGCTCTCTTTCTTCTATAAGTAGATCTACTAACATTTTACTAGCATAGCTATGAGCTTTCTCAATTACATCAATATATTCTCTTTCTTTAAGTGTATATAGGATCTCTTCAGCAGACGGACACTTGGGATCCCGACCTGAAATAAATATAACATTGATATTGATAAATAACAAGGGCAAGAAGAAAAATTCTGAACTTTGATTTGGTAATTTTTGAGAAGACTGACAACTATCATAACTGTAAACCAAACAGAACAACAACATTTTTTTCAAGTACTGTAGAATACTTTATTTTAGCTGGAATTCATTTTTGCTGAAAAGACTTTTTGGGTGTTTTGTATGGAATTTATTTTCACTGAATCATTCCTTCAGCAAAAATAGCGAAAATGAATTCCAAGCGAAAATAGTCTTTGGGCATGGCATCATCAATATTATGGTCATGACGACCATCCCTTGGGCAGGCAACAAATCGTGATATTACCCTCACAAACATGTGGTTTTATTTAAATAGTGTATGTCATGGCAAGACACTAGATCTACCATAAACAAATGCAACACTAATACCTCCTTCATATGAAAATGCCTTATTTTAGGTTAATTTAAAT